CTTTCATCCTTTCAGGAAAGAGTAAAACAGTATTTTTTCTCTTAAAAAATCCCAATTTCAGTCTGTTCATATAATCTGTACCACTTGTATCAGTACTCCTATGTACAGTGTTTCAGAAGTTTTTAAAAATATATTGAAAGTTCTACTACATTATATGTTTTGTAATATTTTTGACTTAAGATTATAGCACATTTTAGGGCATAACAATTGGTGTAGTTTTGCAGTTTAGGAGAATCATTAGAGGTAAGTTTTCAGGTTGCCTGTTCCTCATGTTCATGATCCTGTACCTGTGCTCACTAGTTCAGCTATAATTTACATCTGGAATACTGAATATAGCGTTATTGTTCATACTGCCACTTATGTTCATTAGCTTCCTGAAGAGCAATATTGGCATTTTTAGCAGCAGGAGTTTTACAGACACCCTGGACTCCACAACTCGATTCAAGAACACATTTTGTCTATACGAGACCAGGAGAATTGTATTTCTACCAGGAAATACGGCAACCCAGAGAAAAAGAATAAAACAGAATTGCAGAGAGAGAAGTCCATATTACAGGAGAAAAATATTTGCAATTCTGTCTTCTGCTATGTAAATCCTGTGGTTTTGTGCCAAAGTTTGTATCTTGTCTCAGGATCTGACCCTTTTCTCACTAAGGATAAAAGTTAGTTGTTTGTGACCATGTCACATTTATATGAATGTCTTATAAAAATAAATACTAGGTATTTATTTTTAGATTAGATAGGGCAAATTTTGAATTCCTCACCAAGACATCCATAGTTTGAAATTTATAAATATATAGCTGTGTTTGCCTTATCAGGCTCTTTCTTTCCCCCTACCCCCCTCAGTCTGAATGAAACTCAAAACCTGAAAAACAGAAGTGGATTTTCCCTACTGTTGCATTCCAGCTCCTGACCCCCCTAAATGGCTGTTACACCAAGATAGAAAATTAATGTAGAGCAAGATAGGATATGGAAGAAAATAACATAATAGGTGTCTTGCTCTAAATGCCCTGCTTTGTATGACACCTTATTCTTCACAGTGCATAGCCTGTACAGTTTGGAGGGTTGATTTTTTTTTCTTTTTTAACTTAAACATATGAAATGGCAATCATAGGGGGGAAAAAAGCCATAGATTTTTTCATTTAAAATGAAGTCAGGAAATTCTATACAACTAGAATTAAGGTTCTAGTACTGTCAGCTAATGTTGATATGATGCTTTTTTGTAACTATCATATGGTCAACTGTGGAACCTCTCCTGTTGTCATCCCTTCCTGCTCCCAGTACAGCAGCTTCTCCCTGTCTGCGAAAGCCACCCTGCTCAGGCACAGGGTTTGAAGCTGATGTGCTCTCCCTCTTGCTCCAGTGTGTCCTCCATGTGCTGGTCCAGTTCTGTGATGGTCCCTTCTAAAGCCTTCCCAGTTTGCTGATAGTCTAGACTCCTATAAAGCCGTCTCTTAATTATAGATAATCAAGCTCTGCTAATTTGTCCAAATTATGAATTATTCTTAACATATAATTGCTATGGAGTTTACGTGTTTTCCAAGAAATGCCTTCCCTTTTTAAATGCAGTTGTGTGTTGAGAGTAGTAAGTGCTTCAGTCTTCTAGTTTTGATGCTTGAGGCTCATCACCTTTTTGGTGCCTATGTTCTTCTGTAAATTAGAGTGATATTGGTTATTTCTTGCTATTTATCTCTGGAATATAAAGTGCATCTGAAAAGCAAATTCTCAGTGTTAAAATAGCTGAACCACTATGGGTATGAGAAATGTTTGTTGTTCACTGAGTGATAGAAAAGATGAAAAAGATTCAGTAAGTCACTTGCAACAGAATTTGTAGGCTTCAAAATGCTTTGTAAAATGAGAATATGAAGGGACAGCTTTAAAGTTACCATTTAAAAATGCAAGGCTCTTGACTGATCATTCCCCACACACGCCTTGATGTGAATCACTTTTTAAAATCTGTGTTAACACGTTTGCGTACACGTGTATCCACCATACATGGCACAGCAGATCCCGGCAGGCTGGTTCCACATTAATCAGATTCTCCCTTTAATGTTCCCCATGTGAAGGGCTTATTTTCCACTAAAAAGGACACTTTCACCATCAGTGAATGCTGCCAAGGCGATAAGAACATGGTCCTGATAAATCTTTAAAGTAGGGTGGCTGTTCACAGCTGGTGTCCTATCCATACAGGAGAGACTTCTGATGAAGCTGTGCATTAAATGTGACATTTATCAGCAGGAGTTAGCCATTCATCTCTGCCCATCCTGACATCTTGTTCACAAAGCTTTTTGCTAAGGACCATATGATTGAAAATGTGTATCAGGAAAAAAGTCAACAATAACCTCCTGCCTGGTAATCGTACAGAGTTGGCCAGCACCTCAGTCTACCTCTTATCTGTTACCTGTGCTTATGAGGGACATTATTCATCTGTAGAGTGTATCCCTTGTTTCTGCTTCTCCATTTCTTGTATTTTTTTCTTTTCTTTTCTTCTTGTGTTTCCTTTCTTTCTCACTCTTATGCTTTTTGTCCTTTGCTTGTCTTTTCTTTCACCCCTTTCCTCCTCTTCCTTTCCACTTCCCACTTCCTCTCCTGCCTCTTCCTCTTCCTCGTTTGGTCCTATTGAAGTTGAGCCCAATGCCGGGACACCACGTCGTAGACCTCTCTCCTTCTGCCCTTGCTGTGCCCATGAAGGTAATGTAACCTCACACACTCCCCACTCTCCTTGACCACAGCTGGGTTGTTGCAGCAGTGCTAGTCAGCTAGTGACCACAAGGTCCCCGTCCCCAGCCCCTTTCTTGCTTTTCCCCCAAACCAGTCTTCTCAGTAGCCCCCTGGTAACCAGCTTGTAAGAGCTTGTGGCAAGTTACTATTAAAGGTACAGTATCCCTTTTTCTGCTTCACGTTCTGGTAGGGAGGGAGTCATGCCTGGGAGGGACACGGGGCAGCGGCAATGTGAGCAGTCACACTCAAAATTTTGTTTTCATTTGGTCTTTTTAATTTATCTATTCTGCGTGAAAGGTATCTGAAAGGTGGGGTGAGGGAAGAAATTCTCCTTCCTTAAATGGCCTTTTAATTAGTATGTATGGATTAAAGGAATACTGTCTCTTTATAAAGACTGGCTTGGAAAACATCCCTGAAGTTTAAGAACCAACAAACATTGAGTCAGGCCAGTCTTCCCTGATCTGTGTTGCTGAGTGTATTCTTTAACTGTCCCAAACAGAATATGCCATAGATTTTCCATTGCCAAGGCATGGGGGAAGGGCTTGTTCATGCGTGTTCATGGTGTAACTTTGCTAACCACTTACTCTGCTTTCCATGGTGCTCCCTCACATCAGTTGTCAACGCTCCCTCCCAAGACCTCCCATATTCCTCTGCTCGTTGGCTGTTTAAAAATAATTAAATATTTCATAGGTCGGTAGCGTTGTGTTTTGGGCTTTTCTTTAGAAGCATTTGTTTTCTATACATCCTGGCATTGGAAAGGATGGGGAGACTTCCCAGTGCTTTCATGGCACCACCGCACTGGACATCCGCATGTTCTGTCTCCCCTCCTCTGTTGCCACATGGGCATATTGTGCAGAGATGCTCAGAAAGGAATGCTTGCTCTAAAATCTAGAGAGCCAGAGGCTCTCCGGGTGGTACAGCGGGGGTTGGTATTTCCCAAGGCTCTATTGCAGTTTTTCAAAAGCAGGTATTTTCAAACTAAGCTACAGCTTAAAAGGAATTTTACGCTCTCCTATATTTAGCTCCAGTGCAACACTTCTCTGAAACCTTAAGGATGGAGGCAGGGCATAGGTATGAGTTAACTAGCCATTAATGTGATATTTGTGTAGTTTCCCAGAGTGAATAGTGAGCTTGCTGCTTGACTCTTTTTAGCATCAGAACCATTGTTGAAGATGTTTTGTTCTCGATGTAGCCACTGTGTATCCATATTAACAAGCTAGACACTGCTGTTAGTTACTTTAGCGAGCCTAGGTTCTATGCAATGCAGATAGGATTCTGCAACCAGAAGATACCATAGACCTTGATTTGAGGCCTTTCTCCTGCCTCCACTTCTTTGCAGGCAGGCAGACTGCTAGCATCCTTGCTGGCATTTCATTTAAATCATGGCATTCGTCTGCAAGGTAGTGGAGTTTGTAATCAGGGGCCTAAAACAGGAGAATACCATGAGAAGCTTCCATGGTAAGCTCTTGCATTGGAAAATACCAGAAGGCAACCTTGAGAACAGAGTTCTGTAATTTATTCTATGTAACTCCTGAAAGATGAGATTTGTCAATGGACTGTTGAGTAGGGTTAGGAGTTGGTTGTAAAATAAATGAAGTATCAACTGAGAGTTCTGTATTGGCTGATCAAGGCCCAAGAATTTTTTGTCCTACTTCTGTGTTAGCAAATGTTGCTGGGGATTCTCTCTCTTTCCAGTGCTGATGTGCAAAACAGTAGAGGTAATTTCTGTGTGTACTGTGCAGTGGCCGTCGTCAAAGTGGATATGTATGTGGTTAGGAGGAAAAGTGAAGAAAAGATTTATTTAGCCACTGAAAAAAAAAAAAAAAAGAAGACAAGGGATTACTTTTGGCCAGTAAAACAAAAGATTAAGGATGTGATTTTGAAGAAAATAAGGATAAATACTCAGAGTTAGCAAATTAATGAGTTTCTGATGAGCACACATTTAAGTAGTTGATATGAACTATAAAGCTACTCTAATGAAAAGTGAAATGAGCTACAGACATTTGGGCTTTCTGCAGTGGAGGAAGGAAGAAAAAAGCAGTTGGAAGAAAATCAGGAAGCAAAAAGTTCAGGCTTCAAAGAGAAAGAAACTTTTTGGAGGTGACTTCCACTCTTCTGTGTGCTGTAGGCAAACTGAATGGACCCGGCTTGGGAGTGCTCTGGCAGCATCTTGCTTGGCTTTCTTTGCACATTTTGCCCCCATTGTTGTTTTTGCCATTTGGGCTTATAAGGATCACAGGGCAGTGTCTGAAAACTTACCAAGGTCTCTCTTTTGGCAGGGATGGGGAAGAAGGATGATCCAAAGCTGATGCAGGAATGGTTCAAGCTGGTGCAGGAGAAGAATGCTTTGGTTCGCTACGAGTCCGAGCTGATGATATTGTGAGTGAACCTGCAAAGCTTCAAAAGAGGAAATACTTCACAAATAGTAATGGATGATCTGCTATCACTGTCTTACCTATAATGCCAGGATGCCAGAACTCAATTAGCCTGATTCTTGCTTGAGATAAAGTCTAATAAGGCGTGGGAGTTGAAACTCTTTGTGTACATGCAGAAGCATGGATGCTTCTGCAAAGTTTTGAGTCCTTCCTAAGCCATTTGAGGCAAAACAGGTCTTATTCACATGTGTTTTCCACTTTTTTATTTGTATATAATAGGTGATTTATTTTATTTTTGCTAGAGCCCATTTTTGGCGTGGCCAAAACAGTTGGACGTCCTTCACCTTTAATTCATATTTTCCAGGGTAGCCCTCTTCTCTTCTTTAGTGGGATGACACTGCCTCTCACCCGGGCTCAGATGATAAAGCTTTTCCTGTTACTGAACCTGGGAGCTTTCTTAGTCTCTGCTGAAAATTCACTGAAATTAGTTTCTCAGTATGTCAGCCTGGCCAGGACAGTGTCCTTGTAGGTGCCAGAAAAACTTCCAAGGTACTGTGTGTTTTGGAGCCTGAAAGGGCAATGGCCTGTAATGGCCTTAGTTGATAAAGTAACTTTTTCATGAAAGTGGGAGGTGATAGGAAATACACTGAGATAAAATATGATTTTGACAGTAACTGCAGATTTGTCTAGTCCTTCCTTTACAAACTCAGATTTGAACTATTTTCACTGAGCTTAAATAAAGTTGGTCAGTATACAGCTATGTGAAAAGATAATTCCTCCATAACCTTCTTACCCATCCTGTTTTCACTTCTGAGCTGAAAGTGAAGGACCTGAGATTCTGAGAGAACATTTAAATGTTATTTTTAATCTTTTTTGCATATCTAAAGAATTTGAATTGAAAAAAAACGAATTATTAAAATACACAGCAAATACTTAGATGAGGGGCAGAAATTGAGAATGAATACAAAACAATGTTTAGAGTATTTTTAATATACACAGAAGTGGTATATTGGACTCCTCATGTGTCATGTGCCCTTTTCAGCGCTCGGGAACTGGAACTAGAAGACAGGCAGAGTCGGTTACAGCAGGAGCTCCGGGAGAGGATGGCAGTGGAAGGTGAGGGCGAGAGGAGCATTTCACAGTTTGTATGAGTGTACTTCTAGTCCTCTGTATGCTCACGTTTCTTGGTGTCTCTGTAGATCATCTGAAGACGGATGAGGAGCTCTCAGAGGAGAAGAGGATCCTGAACGAGATGCTAGAAGTGGTAGAGCAGAGAGATTCTCTTGTGGCTCTCCTTGAGGAACAACGGCTTCGAGAAAAAGAGGAAGACAAGGACCTGGAGGCAGTCATGCTCTCCAAAGGCTTTAGCTTGAACTGGTCCTGAGCTTAAAACATTCACCTCTGCTGGTCTGTGTTGTCCAGTTGGCCTACCCTGAGTTTGCCAGAATTACATGGATAGGAAGATACTGAAGGGGAAACCTCAAAAGGGTCCGCCAGCATGCAGGGATTCAGTCTGAAGCACTCAGAAGCCTTTTGATAAGTGTGTTGGATCCAGAAGTTTAAGTTTCATATGTTTGCAAGACAAGTTGAAGATAGTGGTCTGAGACTATGCAGTCTCCTTGAGGTCCTATGAAATGGACCATATTTTTTCCTTGTGGTAGGAGGGAAAGGAACAAACTCTGTGCGTGGGAAGGAGGTTAAGGGGAGAAGTACCCTTAACTAAACTGAATTTTTGGCAGTCCATTCCTTTCCCATTTTCATTACACCAGTTCTAATAAAAGGGAGGGAAGTGGCAACCCTCTCTGGAAAACCACAGCAGCCTGTAGCAGCCTGTATGGAAGAGTCAGCTATCCAAGAGCGCTCCAGAAGCCCAGGGCAGCACCTTCTTTGCTTTAGTCTTCCTCCCCGCCAAAGAAACCTGCAGTTGATTATTAAGCATGGATATGAAGAAACACGAGACAGAAGATTCTGCTAGTATGTGTGATGGAACTCCCTGCATCCTGGTTTTTAGAGAGAGCTGGGCATCAGAGGACTCTCCCTGACGTGGTCTCCAAAATTTTGTTATTGCTGTGGGGAGAAATGGGGAGAAGAAGAGTGGAAAGATGCCCTTCTGCTTTGTGACACACTGGAGAGAGAGCTACCACTGGCCTTAGTCTTCACGGCCACAGCTCAGAGGCTGATGGGTTTCTTTGTTCTGCTTTTGTTTTGACACTGGAAAATACTGACTGTGGGACAGTAGTAAGTGTTTGCTGGGGTAGGGGTCTTACCAGGCATTCCCTGGCTGTTAACCCCTAAAAGGGAGAAGCCCTTAACCGACTGAACCACCATTAAGACTTTTCAGTGTTTTTATTTTTTCCTCTGTATTTTGTTTTTGCACATTGGAAAAAAAAGCTTAAGACCTGCCTGGGCCCTCAGTCACTTTGACCCTTTTCTGTCAATTAACTTATTTTTTTAATACTTGAAAGAAGATTCATTTTTGTATCTTTTAAGAAAAATATGGACGAGTGATGGGTGTGTGTGCCTGCTGCATCCTACAACCTCCACTTCCAAATTACTGGACATTGTTACCTGTGGCTATTTATTAGTGTTCTTATTAATAATGTTAATGTTACACATTTTGATTGTGGAGGGGGTGTTTTAACTCTCTTAGAGGAAGACACTACTGCAGATTGGTCCCTGCTTCACAACAAGGCCAGCCTTTATGAACCCATGGATGCATCCTGCCCTAGCAGATTCCCTTTACGATAAAATCCGGTGCGTTCCTGGAGTTTTAATAATCTATTTGTGTTCCTAGCATACTTTTCTTCTGCATCCCAGATTCCCCCCAGGGTAAACATATAATTTATTTAAATATTAAATGTGTATAACAGGAAAGCCAAAACGGTGAAGTAGAGACATCCCATATTCTCACTGAAAGAGGGGACCCTCACATTCTTGACACACAGCTAGAGGGACTTCCATGTAGGTAAAAACAGCTCATTTCCTGCTGCATCTGTTGGAAGAAGCTCCTTCTGGCTCAGCTAGGGAAGCTGCTGCTTTTAAGCCAGAAGGGAGCCTGCTGTAATCCTACGTGACGAAATGAACATGCACTGAGCAATTCGGCACCCTTCACTGTTTGGCAGGTCCCCAAGCGCGCCGCTGCCTTGGCTTGTCCCACAGAGCTGAAATAGCCCTGTGTGCTGGGGGCGCGTCTCGTCGGCCGTGTGGCATGTGGAGAATTTCTTCCCCTTCTTTTCCTGTTAAGAAATACCAAGCCTGCTCCTCAATATCTTTGAGAAAGCATCTATTTCCCAAGTGCTTTCCTACAACGCACTGACTTTGACAATACATGATTTGGTGCGAGATATCCAAGCAGGGCTGAACATCCTTTAATCTTGTGCCCCAGGCTAGAAGTTAACGTGGTTTTGTCCTGTTGACACACTGCCTTCAGCAAAGATGTCTTCTGTTAGCCAGGGTCTACAATTTCAGTTCATATCCGACTCCTGAACATATCTCAAGCTAAGGGCAGTTCCCAGAGGTTCCCAGCAGTGCTCATTAACTGTGCGGACATGTTTTTTTCCACCTCAAATGTTTTCCCTTCATCCTCCGTAGTGTTCCCTGCTGAAGCATTAAAAAATAAACCCCAACTTTCATGAAACAAAGCAGAGAAGCAGCTGTTGAGCTGCTTAGTAGTCGTGTGTGTTAGCAAGTGGTACGTGCTACACCAGTGTCACGGGACAAAACTCCTTTTAAGTGCTGGTGAACCAGCGGGATGTCCGCAAGCAGAATTTCCCCCCTATGCCAGTGCAGAGGCCACGTTGTCAGTGGTGGTTTACAGTATGTGTTCAAGTGGCCACTGGAAACTGAAGAGGAGGAGGGAAGAAGGGAAACTAAGCAGTAGTTGCTCATAGAGTTGTTCCGGTACAGAGAATTGGCCTCTGTCCATTTCATAGTGCAGTGTGTATATGGAGCACGTCTGAACAAAAAATATCTTCAAATATGAGCTGTAGAACAGAAATCCTGAAGAAATACCAGATTGCTGCTTCTCCCTTTAGTGCTGAAAGACGCTGGCCAGATCTTTGCAAAGATGAACAGTGATATCTCTTGAGGGTGTAATGTCCTTCTGCAGGGGGGAAAGCTGATTCTCTCAAACTCTTTAGGTTATGTTGAAGTCCTCTGGCACTAACAAAATGAAGACCTAACATGGCACACATACAAATTATATAAAAATACATGAATGGGAACCTTAAAAGACCCTTTTCTACCAAAATGGTAGTAAAAGGCACAACTTGTACTTGTTGTTCAGTTGCACTTTAAGAATATAACTTGCATATCAGATACTGGGGTTTTTTACTATCTGAATATTTTTAATTCAAATTTTATATTTTTAAAGCTGAAGGAGCCTCTTGTGACTGCAAGGCTCCTTATTTATATCGGAATCCACGTAGGATGTTCTAGCTGTTAGTGCTACCCAAGCAGGCGACAGCGCGTGGCTCAGCCGCGTGCGTGCTGCGACGTGCGGCTGCTTCGCGTACGGGCCAAGGGAAAGGCCCTCGGCACGGGAGGAGTGGGGCACACGATGCAGGTGCCTTCCCGTGCCAGGGCCCGGGCACTGCGCCCGTGGGGTGGAAGGAGAGCTGGGTCTGCAGCCCGACTCGTGCCTGCTTCAAAACGGGCACGCTGAGGACGGGGAGCGCTGAAGCACCCGGGCGCCAAGGGAGAGGAATCCAGGAGGTGAATGGGGATAGAGGAGCGAGGACTGCCAAAACAGCCCGTCTGCTGTTTTCACAGTACAAACAACACTTTTAACTGTTTCATCTCTTTTACTGTGTTTTCATTAAAGCTTAAAAATGGCTGTAAAATCCTGAGCTTCAGAGAACTATGCGTGGGGAGATGACATGATTATCTTTCAGCTCCAACTTCCAGACACGCTCCTCCCTTTTCAGTTATCCAAAACCCCATGGTCTCGCTAGGGCATGTTAAACACTGCATTGCCGAACATATTTTAGAGCAAACCGCACGTTTTAAGAGTCTGTCCTTCTCTAACCGTCTCTGCATTTTATGTAAATACTTGTTTGTATGTAAAGACACCAGTGGATCCTTGGGTTACCCCTGCAGGCAAGGACCTGAGTTTTGTGCAATGCCTAGGCCTCTTATTAGAACACGGTGCTTGCATAGAGCTAGTCACCACATTTGTGTGCACTCTGGTGGTTTTTAATATTTTTATACATTCTAATCCTGAGCATTACCAAGCATTATAAGCGGTCTAGACTGCATGATCTAGAGCAGCCAGCAGCTCCATTTTCTTAGCAACTGTTCTACAACGTTCAAAGCTACACCTCGTTCGGTTACCATTCTTTCGAGTTTTCAGTTCAATGTTTACACCAGACACCTGTGGATGAGAAAGGCTTTGCATTATAAAACCTCCTGTGTACAATCTGAAAAGCCACGATGTGGCCGTGTTGGGAGTTTAAATTGTCACAGTCTGCAATAAGGAGAACAATAAAGCATACTAAAAACCAGCCTGTATATAATTCACAGGGAGAGAGATTGCTTGCTCTTGACCATTGCAAAATAACAGAGATTAGAAGCTGTCCAAATGCCTCCGCTTTTGGATCGCTCTGAGTACTGCTATAGGCAGGGTAGCCAGACATACGAGGATGTCGTTGAGAGTGTAGATGTTAAGGGCAGAGTGCCATGTTCTGATGGCATCGCAGTAATTTAAATACTCTCGATGTGTGTGCGTGCACGCGCGTGTGTGTGTGAAGTCTAATCCAGGTGAAGGGATCTGCTTTGGCAGCTTCCCTTTTGTATGAAAGTGAACTCTGATATTCAGATCGTTCAAGGCTTTTATGGTTGGCATGTATGGAGTGTTAACAGAAAAGTGTATACCCTACCTGTAAAAAAAGCAACAGAAACAAACCAATGACTCTGTTCCAGCCTGTTTTCTTCTGTTTGGTTGTGTTTTATTGTTTGTTTTTATGCACACTTGCTTTGTTGGTGTTGAGATTTTAGCACCTCAGATGGCCAACTGAACTAAAAAAAATAAAGTCATTAATTATTTTTTCTTTTTGTTGGTGGAGTTACATTTGTTTCATTTGTGGTCACGCCTACAGTTGGTGATAATAGAGAAAACAGGGAGTGAGGGATAGCGATCTTGAGGTAAGATAAGAAGTCAAAGGTGACAGGGCCAGGATTCTCTTTCTCTCTCTGTTGCCCTGACGCTTTTAACCTGGTTATTTGAGATACGAACAATAAGTGAATGGCATCAGCAGCTCTGTGCTGCCTCTGCACGTTGTGCGAAGCCTCCAGCGCTGTACACCATCACTCATCCACACTGTGCAGGTTCAGAAAGATCAGCTAAACTGTCTGCAGCTCCAGAGATTAATTATATGTGTGCTGGAAATAACACCAGGAAATGGCCCTCTATCAGCGAAATCCCATTTCAGGATGTCCCAGTCCTCAGAAGAGCCTGGGAGGATGCAGAGGTTTAAACCTCATGAGCCCGAGCATGAAGAGAAGCTGCTTGAAAAGACCCGATGTCGACCTCATGCGATGGGTGTTGGGCCTGCTTGAGCTTGAGCTCCAGAGGAACCCAGTGTCCACTCAGCAGCGTTGATGTCACTAAGCACACTGAGGCAAATCGCAAGACTGCCTTTTGTCACCACGCAGAAAGCATACAGGATGTTGTGGGAAAACCCAGCCGGGGAAATCCAAAGCGATGAACCCGACTTGCCTGTCAAGCCCACAACCTTCCTAACACAGCACAAGCTTAGTCCTCGGTGAGGTGTGGCCGGCTGCGCGGCGACGCTGCTGCCTGCGGTTTGGCCTGTGCGTTCCCCTGCCCGGCGGCCAGGGGAGGAGCGAGGCTCTGCTAGCGCCGCTCAGCAAATTCAAAGCTATTTTGGAGATGTTTCAAATCCTGCGATTCTCCCTGTCCTTTTGACCTCTTGCTTTTAAAAGCCATGGGGGGGAAGCACCGGTTGCGTGGGAGGGATCTCTCTCGTAATAACAGCCTTGACCTTTACTAGTTTGCAAGGATTTCTCCATGAGGGGAGTACATGGAAAGAATGACAATAGGGCTTATAGATACAGGAAATTGGGATCGCATTCCTTGCATAAGAGGAACAGCCTTGCAACACTTTGCTGCCTTTTTAAACACTTTGCCAACTTGGTAGCCTGAGGAATTCTCTCTGTGGCTGTACAGCACCCGTACCTAATCTCCGGTCTTAATATGGACTCTGCAGTTTATTTACTGCTTTGCTACTAACAGCATAACCAGACTCATGGAAGAGGCCTTGGTGCATTGCTTATTTCAGCAAACAGCTAAGCCTGTCCTGGAAGGCCCTCCACAGCATGTAGGGCTACACTTCCCATCCAGATTAACCAAATGGGCATGGGAAATAACGTCACAAAAAAAGAAACATGGAGCCTGCCATGGTGGCAGCTGCTGCTTTCAGTTTCCAGTTATTATGAAAGTAGCTCAGGAGCATCTGATGCTTTCCACATATGGCCGTTTCATTCCCTAGAAGGTGCCACGGCCGTGCCACGCTGCTCCCCTTTGCACAGAGCGAGACGGAGCTGGGGGAGTCGGCAGGGACCTGGGACCTCTCCCACTGTTGATGGCTTCACGTGATAATGTGCAAAGCCAACGTGTGCCACTTTTTGACAAAAGTAGATATGCATTAATAAATAGTAGCGATAGTATGCATACTAGTGATAGTATGCATTAATAAATAAGTAGTACAGCTACTTGGATAAAAACGAGTATGTTGTTTTCTTGCACTTCTGTGATTTTTTCTCTGTACTATGTAACTTGCTAGGAAAAACAACTGTGACGTGGGAGAGGAATGATGCCCAATACCAACAGATAACAAGCAGGTGGAAAAGATGACCTTCCGGTATAACCGTTTACA